CCCTACACATGATCCCCTACACATGCCCCCTACACATGACCCCCTACACACACACTCCTACACATGACCCCTACACACACTACTACACATGACCCCCTACACATGACCCCCTACACATGCCCTCCTACACACACACTCCTACACATGACCCCTACACATGACCCCCTACACACACTACTACACATGACCCCCTACACATGACCCCCTACACCTGACTCTCTACACATGCCCCCTACACATAACCCCTACACACCACTACTACACATGACCCCCTACACATGACCCCCTACACCTGACTCTCTACACATGACCCCTACACATAACCCCTACACACACTACTACACATGACCCCCTACACATGACCCCCTACACCTGACTCTCTACACATGCCCCCTACACATGCCCTCCTACACAAGACCCCTACACATGCCCTCCTACACACGCCCTCTACACATGCCCCCTACACACACCCTCTACACACGCCCTCTACACATGACCCCCTACACACGCCCTCTACACATGCCCCCTACACACGCCCTCTACACATGACCCCCTACACACGTCCTTCTACACATGTGTCTCTACACATGACCCCCCTACACACGCCCTCTACACATGCCCCCTACACACCACCCCGCTACACACACTCCTACACATGACCCCCTACACATGCCCCCTACACATGACCCCTACACACACTCCTACACATGACCCCTACACACACTACTACACATGACCCCTACACATGACCCCCTACACAAGACCCCCTACACCTGACTCTCTACACATGACCCCTACACATGACCCCTACACACACTACTACACATGACCCCCTACACATGACCCCCTACACATGACCCCCTACACCTGACCTCCTACACCTGACTCTCTACACACATGCCCCCTACACACGCCCTCTACACATGCCCCCTACACACACCCTCTACACACGCCCTCTACACATGACCCCCTACACACGCCCTCTCTACACATGCCCCCTACCACACGCCCTCTACACATGCCCCCTACACACGCCCTCTACACATGACCCCCTACACACGCCCTCTACACATGACCCCCTACACACGCCCTCTACACATGCCCCCTACACACGCCCCCTACACATGCCCCCTACACATGACCCCCTACACATGACCCCCTACACATGACACCCCCTACACACGCCCTCTACACATGCCCCCTACACACGCCCCTACACATGCCCCCTACACATGACCCCCTACACATGACCCCTACACACGCCCTCTACACATGACCCCCTACACACGCCCTCTACACATGCCCCCTACACATGCCCTCTACACATGACCTCCCTACACATGAGTCTCTACACATGACCCCCCTACAAAATGACCCCCTACACACGCCCTCTACACATGCCCCCTACACATGCCCCCTACACACGCCCACCACATGCCCCCTACACATGCCCCTACACATGCCCCCTACACATGCCCTCCTACACATGCCCCCTACACATGAGTCTCTACACATGACCCCCTACACATGCCCTCTACACATGCCCCCTACACACGCCCTCTACACACGCCCTCTACACATGACCCCCTACACACGCCCTCTACACATGCCCCCTACACACGCCCTCTACACATGACCCCCTACACACGCCCCCCTACACATGACCCCCTACACACGTCCTTCTACACATGTCCCCCTACACATGAGTCTCTACACATGACCCCCTACACACGCCCTCTACACATGACCCCCTACACACGCCCTCTACACATGACCCCCTACACACGTCCTTCTTACACATGTCCCCCTACACATGAGTCTCTACACATGACCCCCTACACATGCCCCCTACACACGCCCTCTACACACGCCCCCTACACATGCCCCCTACACATGCCCTCTACACATGACCCCCTACACATGCCCCCTACACACGTCCTTCTACACATGACCCTCTACACGTACGTCCTACATTGTGTTTCCTTCTGTGTTTTGTGTTTATGTTTTTAAAATAAAAGTTTGTTCTAAAGTTTCTTCTGTTTCTTTTTTTCTGTCCTCGTTTCGTCTCAGACCCAAACACTCGTCGTGTTTCTGACGCTGCAGAAATAAAACTGAAATTCCACTGAAATAAAAGTTGAATCACAGGATTGTCAGGTTGTGTCAGGTTGTGTCCTCGCGGGTCAGAGGACAGTGTCGCCCTCTAGTGGACTTTCTGTCATGTGCAGGTCGTGTGTTTGGGTTCGTCACCGTGGAAATGTGTGAATGGTGTCGTTTTTTCAGTGGGACGAGGTCGTTTGGTCGTTTGGAGAAATGTTCCTGTGGATCTGAGGGAATTTTAGTCTGACTCTGTTTAGATTTGACTAAACTAAAGTCTAAAGTCTGATGATCGTGTGAAACAACAAACCCACAACTCTGAAACAAACAAACAAACAGGTGTCACACTGGGGAGGTCAGAGGTCAGGGTCAGGGTTAGAGGTCAGAGGTCAGGGTCAGGGTTAGGGTTAGGGTTAGGGGTAGGGGTCAGGGGTCAGGTCAGAGGTCAGGGTCAGGGTTTTGGGTTTATTGGATCTGTACAAGTGTAAACAGAAAAACATGAGGAGCTTGTTTAGTGAATCAATAAACGTCACTGTGGATTTAGACTGTGGAAAAAACACTTCAACAAAACACCAGACCAGGTCTAAACCAGGTCTAAACCTGGACTAACTCCAGTCTAAACCCGGTCTAAACCCAGTCTAAACCAGGTCTAAACCAGGTCTAAACCCGGACTAAACCCGGTCTAAACCTGGACTAAACCTGGACTAACTCCAGTCTAAACCCGGACTAAACCCGGTCTAAACCTGGACTAAACCTGGACTAACTCCAGTCTAAACCTGGACTAACTCCAGTCTAAACCTGGACTAAACCCGGACTAAACCCGGACTAAACCCGGTCTGAACCTGGACTAAACCTGGACTAAACCTGGACTAAACCCGGACTAAACCCGGACTAAACCCGGTCTGAACAGGACTCACCCTCCGAGCTCTCCCTCCAGCAGTCTTCTGTACTCCTGGATCTCCATCTCCAGTCGGGTCTTGGTGTCGAGGAGGACCTGGTACTCTTGCCCCTGTCGCTCCAGGTCACTTCTGAGCGCGCTCAGCTGCTGCTCCAGGGACTGCACCTGTCGCTGGTATCCTGCCAACATGGCGCCGTATCTGTGCTGCGTCTCTGCCAGCGTGCCCTCCAGAGACTGTTTCTGCACCAGGACAGAGGAGATCTGAACACCACCCGAGCACCACCCGAGCACCACCCGAGCACCACCCGAACACCACCGAGCACCACCCAGCACCACACCAACCCACCCACCACCCCACCACCACACACCCACCCACCACCCCAACACCACCCGAACACCACCCCAACACCACCCGAGCACCACCCAACACCACCCCAACACCACCCAACACCACCCCACACCACCCGAGCACCACCCCACACCCCAAACCCCACCCACCCGAGCACCACCCCAACACCACCCCACCAACACCACCCCACCACCACCACCCAACACCACCCACCCCAACACCACCCAACACCACCCCAACACCACCCCAACACCACCCCAACACCACGAGCACCACCCCACCACACCACCCAACCCAGCACCACCGAGCACCACCCGAGCACCACCCCAACACCACCCACCCCAAGACACCACCCCAACACCACCCAACACCACCCCAACCACCACCCCAACCACCACCCACCACCACCGAGCACCACCCAACACCAACCACCACCCACACCACCCCGACACCACCCCAACACCACCCCACCCACCCACACCACCCGAGCACCACCCCAACACCACCCAACCACCACCCGAGCACCACCCCACCCACCCCACCACCCCAACACCACCCGAGCACCACCCCAACACCACCCCAACACCACCCAAACACCACCCCAACACCACCCGAGCACCACCCCAACACCACCCGAGCACCACCCTGGTGTTTACAACAGGACAAGGAGTGAAGGACCAGAACTATTTGAAACAGGAGAAGAAGAAGAAGTAGTAATAGAAATATTTGCAGTAGTAGTAGTAGTAATAGTAGTAGCAGTAGTATTTGCAGTAGTAGTATATTTAGTATTAGTAGTATTTGTAGTATTAGTAGTATGTATAGTACTTGTAGTACTTGTAGTACTGCTAGTATTCGTACCATCCTGAGTTGCGACTGCAGTTCGATCTCGAGTCCCTGTAGCGTCCGTTTGATCTCGCTGACCTCTGACCTGGACGACTGGAGGCTCTCGGTGCTGACGGCCACCTCCCGATTCAGGTCCTCGCTCTGAGGTCACACGACACGAGGGTCAGAGGTCAGAGGTCAGAGCCACCGCCTGGACACACCTCTGGACACAGCTAACACCGCTAACACCGCTAACCCGCTAACACCGCTAACACCGCTAACACCGCTAACCTGCTAACTCCAAACAGAACCAAAAACATGTTTCTGTTTTTTTTATTCTGAGTTTAAGTGCAGTTTATTCAGTGTTTAAATTCAATTCAAAAGTTCAAAATTAAAAAATAAAAATAAAAAATCTCCGAATATTTTCAATCCCTCAATTTTATCACTCAAAATTCACAGTAAAATTAAGAGAGTAAATCTGGGAGCCGCGGCGGTGGGAGCGGGGGCGGTGGCGGTGGCGGCGTCTTGGATCCATAGTTGATTTGATTTGACTCAGTAACAAACAGGAAATGTTTGAGTGAAGCCTGAATCTGATTGGTCAGAATTCGCCTCATCAAACCTCAAACCCCGCCCACAGATGAGAACCATTAGGAAACCGCCTCTGTCCTCCTCACTCACACGATCGACGTTTCTGCCGCCGCCGCCGCCGCCGCCGCCGCTCCCGTCTGCGCTCACAGTTTCACTCTCTCAGTTTTAGTCTGAATTTTGACTGATGAAATTCAGACTTGAAAATATTTGTGCTGAATATTTAGAAGGTGACATTTTTATTTTGAATTTTTAAAAACGTAAAAAATTTAAACTTTAGAATAAAAATAATTCAAACATGTTTTTTCAGAGTTAAAAAATCCAAAGTGAAAAATTCAGCGTGATTTAAAATCTGATGGAACAAATGATCTTCTGTTTTTAAGAGCAGCACCTGTCTGCCCCTGCCGCTGACAGGTGCATCAGAAACACCTGAGGCTTTAGGGCAGTTCTGTGTGATGTCATGTAGTACTTGTAGTGTCCCGGAGCTCCAGCGGGGGCAGCGCCACGTTTGGACCAAAACACCAGGACCAGACTTTAAATATTCAGCTCATGTCACCTTTTCTGACCCCCCGACCCCTAACCTCCTGACCTCCTGACCCCCCGACCCCCTGACCTCTGACCCCTCGCAGTCCTCGTACCTTGGCCTGGAACCAGTTCTCCACATCCTTGCGGTTCTTGGCGGCCACGTTCTCGTAGTGTTCTCTGATGGAGGCCATGACGGCGCTGAGATCCTGCTGAGGAACGGCCTCCACCTCCACGTTCACGTTACCAGAGATCTGAGAGCGCATGGTCAGGAGCTCCTACAGAAGACACGAGAACATCAGAGAACATCAGAGGAGACCAGAGGAGACCAGAGAGAAGACCAGAGATCTGAGAGCGCATGGTCAGGAGCTCCTACAGAAGACACGAGAACATCAGAGAACATCAGAGGAGACCAGAGGACAGACCAGAGGAGACCAGAGAGGAGACCAGAGATCTGAGAGCACATGGTCAGGAGCTAGTAACCTAGCCTGGTGGCAACCTTAACGGTTTTAGAAGGAACAGAGTCAAGTTGAGCTGGTCATGGTCAGGAGATCCTACAGGAAAGACCAGAACATCAGAGGAGATCAGAGAAGACATCACAATACGACAGGAAAACAGGTTCTACTACAGGTCCTACAGGAGACCAGAGCCAAGAACATGAGCTGAGAGAAGATAACAGAGGACAGGGTCCAGAGGAGAACCAAACCAAAGAACCATGAGTAGTTCTGAAGGACAATTCAAGACAGAAGGTTCCACTGCAGCAGCTCCTCAACAGCAGATGAAGTAGTTGAAGTATTTGTAGTATTATCTGCAGTAGTAGTATAAGTACAGTGTAGCACCTCCTCGTGGTTCCTCTTGAGCATGATGAGCTCCTCCTTCAGAGCCTCGATCTGCATCTCCAGGTCGGAGCGCGACAGGGTCAACTCGTCCAGAACCTTCTTCAGCCCCGCGATGTCGGCCTCCACAGACTGACGCATGGACAACTCGTTCTCGTACCTGCGGGAGGGCATCTGGATTAAACACCTCAGACCAAAGACCAGACCAGAGACCAGACCAGAGACCAGACCAGAGACCAGACCAGAGACCAGACCAGAGACCAGACCAGAGACCAGACCAGAGACCAGACCAGATGATTGGTCCTGGTCTAATCTGCAGTCACAGAGGGAGACCGAGTCCGGACCGAGTCCGGTGTGTAGGCCCTGTGGGCGGGGCTTAGCCTCATGTGGGCGGGGTTTGTCCTCACTTGGTTCTGAAGTCGTCGGCGGCGAGTTTGGCGTTATCGACGGCCAGAAACAGAGCGCCGTTGTCCCGAGTGGCATCGAGAATCTGAAACACAAAAGTTTGAACAAAAAGTCACAAAAGAAAAAAAAAACAACTGAACAAATGACACAGAGGCCCCCGAGGGCCCCGAGGATCCTGGGAGCCCCAAGACGCTCAAGAACCACGAGAACCCACAGACCCCCGAGACCCCGAGAACCCTGAGGACCCTGAGAACCCCAGCCCCTGTGGCCCCTGAGCCTGTGGGTGGGGCCCGTCCTCTGTGTCCCTGACACACATACACACATGTACATGTACCTGTGGCCCCTGGGGGCCCGTCACACTGAAGGAGGATTTTCTTTCACAATAAAACATCCTCAAGACACATGACCCAGATTTTCACAATAAGAGCCCCCCCCCCCCCCCCCCCCCCCCCCCCCCCCCAACCAGGTCAGGCTCAGGTTTCACTCATGCAGTAAAAGTACTTCACAGTATCACTACTACAGTAACAGTACTTCACAGTATCACTACTACAGTAACAGTACTTCACAGTATCACTACTACAGTAACAGTCCTGTGAAATGGTCCTGGGTCGGATCCTGGTCCAGACTCAGGACTCAGGAGCTGCTCGTGGTCATAGTAGTATTTGTAGTATTCACAGTACTTGTAGTATTTGCAGTAGTATTTGCAGTAGTACTTGTAGTAGTAGTAGTAGTACTTGCAGTACCTGGTCCTGCAGGGCGGTGATGATTCCTCTGAACTTCTCATGGTCGTGTCCTTCAGGTTTGGTTTTATTTTCCAGAAACGTCCGGATCTTCAGCTCCAGGTCTGTGTTGGCCTTTTCCAGAGAGCGCACCTAAGTACACAAAGTACAACAAGTACAATAAGTACACAAAGTACAAGTACAACAAGTACATGAAGTACACAATGTACCAGTGTGATAGTATTATTACTGCAAACACAAACACTGGAA